TGCACAACTTTAGGTGGTAGTTATCATATCTGAAAAGTATCATTGAAATTGGTCCATTACTTGAGAAGAAGTTGTTCTGACAAACTTGTTCTACGGACGGACAGACGGACCACAGACGGACGGACGAACCACGGAGGAAGGGCTATTTGATTAAAAAATAAAATACACCAGCAACGTCTACAACTTTGTATCTTGAAAGACGCACGCAACTCACACATGTGATATATGAATACAGATAAATAAATATTTGAACATTCTGATGTGATAATTAAATAATTTATTTCATATATTTACATGTTTATACATTACACATTATGTACACCAGTCATACTGAATTATCACAAATATGACAATGATATGGTTTGCATAAAGGTTTCCTGATTAAACAATACATTTGGAATAATAGTCTGAACAGCAGTATTAGATGAGGAAAGCCTTACAGATAATTATCACTGCATACATCAAGGTCATGCTAATTGGGCATTGTAAGTAATGCAAGAGAGGTCCACAGAAAGGACAGTGCAAGACAACTTCACAAAGACGAGTTTAAAAGCCTTCAGCTAACAATTGAGCTGAACACACTGGTATTATATATAAGTCAAAGGCATTTCACAGAGTTAGCATTGTACGTCAAATAACAGGCCTCAAACAGATTATATTAGATGTGAAATACATGGACTTCCTAGAAAGGCAGTGTAAACCAACCAAAGGATGGGGTCAAAGAATGCTTCTGACAGAGTGAGAATTTCAAATGCAGGTAGGGACATTGCAGAAAGGGCACTACAGATATTGAATGGAGTCTGATGGAGATGAATGATCTTACTGAGTGGGCTTTGGTAGACAAAACTAATTGTAAGTCAACGTCATGTGTGTTACACGGCTAGCAATATGGAATCATAGGAGACCTTACAGAAAGATCATACCTGGTTAAGGCAAGGGGCTGACACAGCAAGCAGCTAAGGTCAAGGGAAAGGATACTTTACAATTAATTAATCCATTAAGGCAGCAGAGGAAAACGAATGGAGTCTTACAAATTTGATATTTCTTGTCAATGGAGGGGTCGTATTGAGAGGAGTTATTGAATTGACAGACCTCACAGAAAGGGCACAAGGGAAGGGACCTTACACAAATGGAACCACAGGTAATATAGCACAATCAAACACACATTCTTTAAACATCACAAAGGTATATCAAGATCAATGTAAATATGAATTCTTACTTCAACAAATTAATGGCTAGCACCTGTGAAAGTTTACATAATTTTGACTTTAAGAGGCCTCCGAATACAAGACGTTTATGAAAATAATTAAAATCAATGATGTAATGGTGTTAAGAGAAACATAAAGACGATTTTATTAAGGATTTCGGTGCATGTGATCATAGGTAAATGGTGAGACAATGATAAGTGAGAACAGTTTCAACAAAGCTGCTTGAGTTTCAGATCGATTTCTAGTTTAATACTAGTTTGTGTTACATATTAAATGTCAGGAATATAACCAGTTAATATTCAGTCTCAGCAATTACAAAAATAAATCCATCTCGTTTACCAAAATAACATAAAGTTATGTATAAGACCAGGTACCATCGGTGATTCACCCAAACTACTGAATGTAGTAATACAAATAAACTGACCTGCGAATTGGGAATGTTTTACGGTGTAAATACAATACGAAACTAAACCAACCAAAGTGTGTCATGGTACACATCCTCTTTCACTGTATATACTCCAAAAAATATGACAATCAACATTCTCTTCCATACACAAATTTTAATATGTAATCAAATGTAAAATATCACTGCTTAGTAATCTCATTAACGACAAAAAAACGCCCCCTTGTAAAACTGCCCTGGTCAACTATATCTCATCTACTGATGAAATTATTTGCTATTATCTATCAGTGAATACACTTCTCATGGCATGGTGAAATATAACCTCATCTGTTTGTGATTTTTTTTTTGGGGGGGGGGGGGAATAATACGGCACTCAATGGTAAAATGCATTCAATGATGAAATTCAGGTCATTAAATTGTGAGAAATAAAATCATCTCATGGTGAAAAAAAAACCTCCCATTTTATGGTAAAATAGCTCTTATATAATAGCAAAATAGTTCTTAAGCAATGGTGAAAAAGCTGTCAACGAATGGTAAAATAGTGCTTATTTAATGGTGAATCAGTATGATCACCTCCTGATGAAATCTACTGGTGAATTAGCCATCATCTAATTGTAAATCACTTCTTATGCTTGGGTAAAATAGCTCCCATCTAATAATGAAACAGTATCATTTCATGGTGAAACAGTTTTCATGCTGGGGTAATACAGCTCTCATCTAGTGGTGAATTTTAGCTATCATCTATATAGTGACAAATCTCTCATCATGTGGTGAAATATGTTATTATCTTATACATGTAGTGACAAATCTCTCATCTAGTGGTGAATTTTAGTTATCATCTATATATAGTGACAAATCTCTGATCTAGTGGTGAATTTTAGTTATCATCTATATATAGTGACAAATCTCTGATCTAGTGGTGAATTTTAGTTATCATCTATATATAGTGACAAATCTCTGATCTAGTGGTGAATTTTAGTTATCATCTATATATAGTGACAAATCTCCCATCTAGTGGTGAATTTTAGTTATCATCTATATAGTGACAAATCTCTCATCTAGTGGTGAATTATAGTTATCATCTATATAGTGACAAATCTCTCATCTAGTGGTGAAATATGTTCACTGTTATGACTTCTTGAGATCGGAAATGTACATTTTTCCCAACAAATATTTTTTTAAATCTGTATAGTATTTCAATATTGCTACAATTACTGTTTTCAATGACTGATACCTCACAAAAAGTGAAATACATTAGTAAGCTGGTCTGTACATACAAATTTTGCTATTCAGAGTAAAATACAAATGAAAAATCTGTTTTATAGTGGATTAAAATGATTACCGGTACCTATGATTAAAATGTGCATTCAATATTAAAATACCGGAATATTTCATTAACTTCATAATCAATATTGACATTTTACTGTGATTTGCTCTGTTTGGACAGAGTTAGATATTCCAGTTGTTTTCAAAAAAGAAACAAAACAAAAACTTGAAGACAAGCTGGGTGTAACTTACATCTCCTTCATGTATTTTAAGAAAAAGGATAAAAGGAAACACCAGACGTTAGACATTAGTGTTGGATCTCCAACGACAGTTACATTCGTTAAGGCAAGAAGTACTAGCACTCTGGTTGCACCTCCATTGAAAAGAGTTCCAACTTGTTTGGCATTTCTCTGATTGTAGTTGCTTGCTTATTTACTAAAGGGTTATGTACAAAAGATTTATATATATCATAGGTTAGTTCGCAACAAAATGAAATCTTGCTACAAGGACATGATAGTTGGATCTGTTGATTATAAGGTAATTAGCTTATCTACTGTGTCAACAGTTATGATATTTGTTAATACCTTTCTGCAAAATTGATATGAATAATTTTTAAATGTTCTACCTCCCTAAAAAAGCTTGCAACTGATATTTGTCTTTGCTTACATAAAGAGGGGATAACAAAAGACTTCACAGAAAAATAACATTTGAATACCTGTAATGATGGAACACTACTGTAAACCTACCACTGGGAACCTAAGAAACTAGCTTGCTATAACCCAAAAAATGTATACAGAGTTTTAGACAATTCTTTGCCGTGAGACCCACATATTACTTTGTTATAATCAAGAGTTTGGAATATGTGTGTTGTTATAAAGCATGTTTATCTGTACATACTTGATTTCTGTTAAAGTCAATTAACTTTTTCTCGTAATTTCTATGTTGTGTACTATATATATACACAAGGAACATGACAATAAATAAAATTAAATAACATAACGCCAAGAAAAATAAATGAAAAAATTGTTTTCTTTTTTTGAAGGTCATCCTGGTAGAATTTATTCCATAAAATATAAGCTTTAATAGTTTTAAATGTTTGACATAAAAAAAGCAGTTAATAATAGATATAAATAAAAAGTTCAATCCTCAATCTATTTGAAACTGTTCAGTCACGGGAAAAAACCATGGTGATCAAAATTGATGAACAGAACAGAGAACTGCCTGAGAATTATGTAAACATAAATTATACAACTTGTCACATACTAAATAAACACACATTACTATAATATAACCCAATAAAGCTCTTGACGTCGTTTTATTGTTAAAATGATGCTGTTTCTTTTGAAACCAGGCTGTAATACTGAAATTGAATGTGAATAACATAATAATAATGCTATCTTTTCTATATAATAACGTGCTATCAATTGTACTCAGTCTTCATACTAGGTAAAATGATAATACCTGTGTGTAAATCGTTTGCATAGAGAGAAAACAAATCTGCACAACGTTCTTATTCTCCCTGCAAAACTGACATCAGACTTTGAGATGAAAAATGATTGTTTTTGCTTCCATAATCATGTCATCGTTAGGAAAGTAAGGATCAAGAATTCAATGTCATACACAAAAATCAGTAAAAAAAATCACAGGGACAAATAATAAACAGGATGAGTATCTTAAACACACAATGGTGATTGGGAATAATAGAATCTCTCACCCCCTTGAGATAAGGGAATTTTAACCTGAGGGGGAAGATTCTTAAGTTGCCAAACACAAGGCCTTGTAAACTAGAGCCTTGTGTTTGGCAACTTAAGAATATTTCCCCGTTGGTTGAGATTCCCAATCTCACCTCAAAGGGACGAATGATTCTTTTTCTCTTATCCTGTTCCCTCATTGTGTATCATATAAATAATGTGATGTTAACGTTACAGGCTTAATGCAGGGTTGACGTGATGTTGATGCGTTGTTGACGTGACTTCATTATATTGTTGATGTGACGTCATAAAATTGTTTTGAATAGGGGAATCCCCCAGTCTCAACCCTAGGGTGAGACTAATAGAATCTTACATGGGTCTGTTCCGTGGACAGGGATATCTCAACCCTTATGTAAAAGTTTGCCAGCCAAACTCTTACATAAGGGTTGAGACATGCCTGTCTATGGAACAGACCCATGTTTGATTATTTTTCTCACATACATACAAATAAACAAATTCCAGTCGAAATAAGCATCAATATTATTCTTCTGGCAAACCCCAAAGCCCTAGGGTTGAGACGGATGATTCCCCATCCACAACAACTGTAGGACATCACGGAAACAATAAAATGACATCACTTCGACAATCCATTATTATGACGTCATAGCGTGTGTCAGTTGTCTTTCCCTACCCCGTGTAAGATAGAGTTATCTTTTCCCTAGCAACAACGGGATAACCCTGTGAAGTATGTGAGAAAAGGATATCTCACACCGGTAAAGTGTGGATACACCTGTCCAGGGTAAGAGAATGAAAGATCTGCTTTCCAAGGCTCGTTCCCTATACATTATACTGTAAAACAACTATTTATTCATTTTCTGGACACAGACTCATTGATTAAAATATTGTCAAATTCTTTTTGTAATTGAATATGGTGAAAGAGGCTTTTGCAAGTTTCATCAATATCATTCTGAAATAGGATCAAGATTTGGATATAATTTGAACAGGCACGTTTTGTTGAAAAGCAAAAGAAAACACCACTATTTTTGTATCTAACGAATTATTGATGTTTCCATATTGATGCTTGATGAAAGAGCTGTTATTTTTACACATTACATTTATAAACTTATGATAACCTTACATCCCTGCATAACAGCTGTGACATCGAACATATTGGTTTCTCACAATATTTCACAACTTAACCAGATTATTTTTTCAACCCATGGCTATGAATGAATTTGAAGAGAGTGTATCTGGATGTACTAATAACAAGTATCTGAAACTTTTTCAAGTTTGAAACTGGTGTATAGATCAGCACACTCTTTATCCATGATCCATCCAGAGAAATTAAAACACTTCTGATTGATTTTCATCAAAACAATGTATTACCCTTAAAAACCTTTGTATACATTGCACATGATTTGTAGAGGTCAAGTGGTCAATGACAGACCGGGTTGATGGGTCAGCTTGTATCCCACACTGCATTTGTATTATTGGCTAATGTTTCTAGTCCTCGTAGCGTCTTAAACGTCCCTGAATAAAAGGCTAAGTCAGATGTAACCAACCTGCAATAGAGTCAAAACAAGTATAGAAAATGTCCTTGGAAGATATTTCTGATCTAACACTTGAAACACTTTTCTTTAATAAGATATCATATTTTCTAACATAATCTGCCTGTTACATGTATCTCACATTCAAACTATTCCTTAATATTTATTGAAGAAATACAGATTTGAGTTCTTATTTTACATATCAATCAATCTATCAGGGAGCCTATAGATTTGAATGGCGTTGCTCTACTTATGCAAGATGAGGGCCTACAGATCTAGTAAGTCCAGGGTGAGGCTGTACTACAGAACTAGTAAGTCCAGGGTGATGCTGTACTACAGATCTAGTAAGTCCAGGGTGAGGCTGTACTACAGATCTAGTAAGTCCAGGGTGAGGCTGTACTACAGATCTAGTAAGTCCAGGGTGAGGCTGTACTACAGATCTAGTAAGTCCAGGGTGAGGCTGTACTACAGATCTAGTAAGTCCAGGGTGAGGCTGTACTACAGATCTAGTAAGTCCAGGGTGAGGCTGTACTACAGATCTAGTAAGTCCAGGGTGAGGCTGTACTACAGATCTAGTAAGTCCAGGGTGAGGCTGTACTACAGATCTAGTAAGTCCAGGGTGAGGCTGTACTACAGATCTAGTAAGTCCAGGGTGAGGCTGTACTACAGATCTGATATAACACATGATAGGGGCCTACAAGCTTTGGTATATCTGTTACTTACGCGTGTTGAGGTCCACCATTACTACACACATCCAGTTTGACTAGTTGTAATCGGGCCAGTCTGATGAATACTTGGTTTATACTCTGGAACAGGGTCTGTACAAAAATACAACTGTATTGTTACTTTGTTCAACAATGCTATCTGTGTCAGAATTGAATGTATACAAACACCAGTTTTTATAGGATTTGAAACCAATTTATAAACAGTTAAAATTCACACCCTAGTTCTCCGTTATTTATGTCAATATACATGTATTTGATAAAATGAACACTTTTAATCACTACAGTACCTAAATCTTTATTGAAGTTGAGATTGTAACACATAATATACTAAGACTTAGTTTGCTATAAAATGTAATACAGACAAATTAAGAAGCACATTCGAAAATACCTTTATGCAATAGAAAATTTCATGGTTTTCACATTGATTATCACATATATATTTCACTTGTATCCAAATTGCAAAAAATATCATTAAGTACATCCCAGGAGAAAAATAGGTACATATTTTGGGGTACCTAAGGTATGACTTAGGTAGTTTTCTGGTAACAAAGGAAAACAGAACAAAAAAGAAGGGGTATAGCATGCTCAAAATAGGTACGTTTTAGGCACAGTTTAGGTACTATTGAGGAATACCTCTGGCAGAGGTATAAACATAGGGAAACTCCTTATATATATAATTAATCCATTGCCAAGAAAATAGTCAATTCAATATTTTTTAACTACTATAAACCACAACATTTTCACGATAATAAATTTTCACTTCCAGAACATTTGAAAACAAATTAATCGAAAGTTAAACTTGCACTGCCATTGTCTTAAAAAGAGTTCATAACTAGATACACTTCACCTATGCCTGTGTTAAATTTGTCATTTCATGCAAGTGGGGTATATGAACAAATTTATATTTGATAAACGTTAAATGAGACATTGTCAATCTGAGCACCGAAGACCTAAACCATGACAACTTTGTTATATTAAAATCGATTAGTCTAGGGGTTCCATGCAATGTCTATATTTCAGAAACAGACGAGCTGCGTGTCCAACCGCTCTCTGATATATCACACTGACCTTGATCTGGTCCTCTGGCAGGATGTCAATGACCACCTCGTGCATCTTAGTTATCTGTTTACAGATGGAGCGAAAACAGGCCGATGGCATCGGGGCTTTCACTTCCCACTGAGGAACAAATTAATAACCTTTGTATATAAGATGTTACAAGACATATATCAAAATGAGAAAATGTTCTTCATTCAGAATACAAATTACATTACAAAAGATGAACTCCACATGACATGTTGTTGTTTGCAAAATTGTTTACTATTTTCAAATGATTTATTTGATGTCCTTGAATTGGTAGACTGACTAAAGTTCCATCACACATACATGAGGTGGTGGTAAGGCAGGCAGATATAGGGAGAGACAGGGTGGAGAGGGCGGACAGAGGGCAGGAATGAGGAAAGGAGGTATAGTTAGGATGAGACAGGTGGAAGTAGAATGGGGTGTATAGGAGACCTGAGGGAGTAGAGAGGGGTGGAAATCAGAGAGGATATGACAGAAAGGGACGATTGAGAAGGAAAAAGACGGGGAAGGGATTGAGCTATTTATGTTGACTACCTGTGCCTCCATCTGACCTAAAATTGGGGACTGAAAAAGATAGGCATAGATTAGAGGGGAGGGGGTAAAATTAGGAAAACATCAGAGAGGTGAAGATAGGTATGGATTAAAGGGGAGGGGTAAATAAAGGTATGGATTAGAAGGGAGGGGGTAAATATAGGTATGGATTCGAGAGGAAAGGGGTAAAAATAGGCGTGGATTAGAGGGAAAAGGTAAAGATAGGCATGGATTAAAAGGAAGGGAGCAAATATAGGAATGGATTAGTGGGGAAACAAGTACAGAAAGGCATGGTTTAGAAGGGAAGGGGTAAATATAGGAATGGATTAGTGGGGAAACGGGTAAAGAAAGGCATGGGTTAGAAGGGAAGGGGTAAATATAAGAATAGATTAGTGGGGAAATGGGTAAAGAAAGGCATGGGTTAGAAGGGAAGGGGTGTATATAAGAATGGATTAGTGGGGAAACGGGTAAAGAAAGGCATGGGTTAGAAGGGAAGGGGTGTATGTAAGAATGGATAAGTGGGGAAACGGGTAAAGAAAGGCATGGGTTAGAAGGGAAGGGGTAAATATAGGAATGGATTAGTGGGGAAATGGGTAAAGAAGGGCATTGGCTAGAAGGGAAGGGGTGTATATAAGAATGGATAAGTGGGGAAACGGGTTAAGAAAGGCATGGGTTAGAAGGGAAGGAATAAATATAGGAATGGATTAGAGGTGAAGGGTTTAAGATAGGCATGGAATAGAAGGGAGGGGTAAATATAGAAATTGATTAGAGGGGAAAGGAGTAAAAATATGAATGGATTAGAGGGGAAAGGAGTAAAGATAGGAATGGATTAGAGGTGAAGGGTTTAAGATAGGCATGGAATAGAAGGGAGGGGTAAATATAGAAATTGATTAGAGGGGAAAGGAGTAAAGATAGGAATGGATTAGAGGGGAAAGGAATAAAGATAGGAATAGATTGGGATAGAAGTATTTACCTTGACAAGCTGTGACTCCACTACACCTTCCATTACACTAACTAGTTTGTTTGTGATCTCATTAATATGGTCCATGTAATCCTGTAACAAACAAAAGTTCAGTTCACAAACATCTAAGTTTTATTCATTTACGAAACAACAAATGGAAATGGTAAGATTGCAGCACTGGTTGACATTATGGAATTTTTGTGAGGAGTTCATGCTGCTGTTTCAATAGAAACAGTATCACACAAGACAAATCTTCTGAGTAATCAGAAAAAGGGATAAAAATTTCTACAGAAAAATACAATGACCCATCATACCTTCTTGACTTGGTCAAAATGTTTCAGCATAGTTTTGTTCTTGTCTTGAAGATGTGACTCAAAGTGTCCACGCACAATGGGCATGTGATGCACAACCAGCTGGAGACAGCGAGACGCTAAGGCTGAAATCAGCAACAAATCATACTGTACAATCAAAGGACACAGCGAGACGCTAAGGCTGAAATCAGCAACAAATCATACTGTACAATCAAATGGTGACAGCGATACGCTAAGGCTGAAATCACCAACAAATCATACTGTAAAAGCAAATGGTGACAGCAAGACGCTAAGGCTGAAAGCAGCAACAAATCATACTGTCCAATCAAAGGACACAGCGAGGCGCTAAGGCTGAAATCATCAGCAAATCATACAGTAGAATCAAATGGTGACAGCGTGACGCTAAGGCTGAAATCAGCAAAAAATCATACTGTACAATCAAAGGACACAGCGAGGCGCTAAGGCTGAAATCACCAACAAATCATACTGTACAAGCAAATGAACACAGCGAGACGCTAAGGCGGAAATCAGCAACAAATCCTACTGTACAATCAAATAGAGACAGTGAGACCCTAAGGCTGAAATCAGTAACAAATCATACTGTCCAATCAAATGGAGACAGCGAGACGCTAAGGCTGAAATCAGCAACAAATCATACTGTACAATCAAATGAACACAGCGAGACGCTAAGGCTGAAATCAGCAACAAATCATACCGTACAATCAAATAGAGACAGTCAGATACTAAGGCTGAAATCAGCAACAAATCATACTGTACAATCAAATGAACACAGCGAGACACTAAGGCTGAAATCAGCAACAAATCATACTGTACAATCAAATAGAGACAGTGAGACGTTAAGGCTGAAATCAGCAACAAATCATACTGTACAATCAAATAGAGACAGTGAGATACTAAGGCTTAAATCAGCAACAAATTATTCTATACAATCAAATAGACACAGTGAGACACTAATGCCAAAAAAAACCAAATTATAATCTACAATATTGTATACTAGGCAATTTTGCCGCATTTTTTCCCCCCCCCATTTTTCACTCTCCATAACATGGGCAAATTTTTCTTGATAGTGAATCTTAAAACACAGCATTCTATACATAGCCATTACATGCTTAGGGCGAAATTAACAGTAAGCAAATATGAATTTTATTCTACTTATGAAGGGAGAAAGTCTGACCGTAAAATTTTCTCGTTTTGCAGTATTATCGCAGTGAGAAATTCATGCTGAAAACTAGAAGCAATTTTTCTAACACAAGTTTTTGTTGTTTTGTTATTTGCTGATTTTTTTTAAACTTATGGCAAGAACATACCCATTGACAAGCTTTAAGTTGGACAAAACGACACAAGACATTCCCACTAACTTGCACACAAATATGCACATTGAACTCCTACCTAGATTCTTTGTAGTAATGGTTTTCAGGCCAACTAACTGTAGTGCTCCAGCACCAAGCACCAGTTGACAGGTTCTCGAGTTGAAAATCTAAAAATAATAAGACAAACACATAATAATTGTACCTTTTTTCTTCCATTGTTTGTGCATTAAATTTTAACAGGCAGACTTAATTATCAGCTATCAGAATGTGAACGCTCATAATCTCTCCAACTATACATCGAAAATGTCAATGATCAAAAATCACCTTCACATTTTCATCCAATGTTAATCGGCAAATTTGAACAAACATAATTGTATCAGTGCCTGTCACTTTATAAAATACATCCAGCTCTCATTCATATTTAAACTTCATTCTTTGTATGCATCTGATGACAGAAAATTCTTAAAATTGATTCATAAATGGACAAAATAAAAATAAATCTTGTGTTTCTGCTAACCCTACCTTCCCTAGATTTTTGTGCCTACACTGATGTTTGTATTGGCATTTAGTGATATGCACTGTTTAAGTCAGAACTCCTGCTCTATATAAACATAAAAAAAATCTTTTCCAAAATAAACAAAACTGCCTATCTACCTACCTACCATATTTATTTCTGAGGATGATAGCAGAAACACAAGCATTTTTTTGTTTTGGCCTTAGACTATTTGCTATCTGAAATTCGTTTCTACTCAAGGAACTCGACAGTCAGGATTCCAGTAAGACATGGACACAACTGACCAGTGAAGGTGTATGTACCTTAATAAGCTCTATGAGGCGGTTAAGGAGGTCAGGCCCAGCAGTAGGGATGTCATCTACACACTGACAGTATTCTACCATCATCTTCAGCAGCATCAGCACCGTTCTGAAATAGAACTCAATTCATGCAACTATGTCATACTGCATTACTAAACGATGAGGTTTCTTGAAATAAACGAAATGAATCCAAATATTAATTGAAAGAAAGCTCCACACTCAAAGTAAAACATTTATTTAGGAAAAAACAAAATCTGATCCATTTTCTTACATTAAAAGATATTAATATATATATTATTTTGATTGCTTTATCTTGATACTTACCCCACTACAGAGTAACTCTGTCCGTCCACTGTCAAGGTACCAAATGGCTTTTTGTCTGAAAGAAAGCATTTAATCGCATTCATTTTGTTGTAAACCTGTAAACACCTGAGAGAAGCTGCACATGCTGTATTGGACTGTTATTATGTATACTATCAGCGACCACTAACTCAACTAGAACACCATTACAAAATCAATATGCTGTGTTGAATTTAGAAGATGATTTATCTGATGTTAAAATTGACATGGGATGTGAAGGTCTCACCTGCATCAGCAGTCCTCTCAACCAGACACAGCTTGCCTGTAACAAAACGTTATGAAATATTAATTCTGACAAGTTCTGTCACATCAAAGACAACATTTCTATTGTTGCTGTGATTCTGTTATAACTACTGAAAAGCACTTCAACAGACAAAATCTATCTGCAAAAAAGATGAACTTTGAATTAAAATATCTTATCTTAAAACATTTATGTGAAAATATACATTTGCTATTACTTTTTAAGTTTATCATAAAAATAAATCCTATATGTATTATAATCCATTACACTACAGTCACGAGCAACTGTACTATTACATGTAATGTAATTACACTGCAGTGACAACCAACCTGTACTATTACATGTAATGTAATTACACTGCAGTGACAACCAACCTGTACTATTTAATTTAATACATTACAGTAACAAGCTACCTGTACTATTTAATTACACTACAATGACAACTTACACTCACTATATAATTACACTACTGTGACAACCTACCTGTACTATTTTATTACACTACACTGACAACCTGCCTGTACTATTTTATTACACTACACTGACAACCTGCCTGTACTATTTTATTACACTACAGTGACAACCTACCTGTACTATTTTATTACACTATAGTGACAACCTACCTGTACTATTTTATTACACTACAGTGACAACTTACCTGTACTATTTAATTACACTACAATGACAACCTACATGTACTATTTAATTACACTGTAGTGACAATTGTTTATTTAATTACACTGCAGTGACAACTATTTATTTAATTACACTGCAGTGACAACCTACCTGTACTAAATATTTTATTCTTATACACTTTAGTGACTATGTATATAATTACCTGGTAACCATGTACCAGGGGTATATAATTACCTGGTAACCATGTACCAGGGGTATATGATTACCTGGTAACCATGTACCAGGGGTATATAATTACCTGATTTGCTGATGTTGTCAACCAATTCCTGGAATTCTGCTGGAACATCTGCCTGCTTCCATCGTTCATTATCCAATATCAAACTGCATCATAAATCAATAGTTTTATGTAAGTGCATCTCCTCCCTAGAACTTTTTCAATGAGGGTGAAATTTCTGAACAGAATCTTTTGACATATTCATTAAACTTTTGGATAGTAATAAGCTTAATGTCCACTTGTTAACCTTTTCTTAAAAGGAATTGTTACTATTAACTAATCACAGGTAAAATAGTCAGAAACACACAGATTTTTTTTTCCGAAGTACCATTTGAAATATTTTTCTGACAATGTACAAATCTTGGTAGCAAACCAACTTCATACCAAAAAAAAATAGCCTGTAACAGAAATCTGAGTCTCTCAATACAAAATTTCTCTTACCTTAACTTTGTTCTCCTCTCGTCATGGAAACGATTTACAAATCTAGATGCCTGAAAAAAGTTAACACTCCATTAACTCCTGATCTTATCATAACTTGTGAATACCTGTAAGACCTATTCCATTAAAAAGTATCATTATTAGACCTTTGCATCTTACACACCCACCTGCTACAAAACATATCTGCTTCTGCCTTTCAGGAGTGGGATTTTTTTTTATATTAAACAGTCCTTAACATGAATACTTTAAATAACATTCCATTTTTTCATATTGGTGTTGAATACTCTGTCTCATGTGAAAATAATTGCATAATATCTTTTTGTTCACTTATCTTCCCATATTTTAGAGAGCTGAAATTGGCAACTTACTTGATGCTATCTTATAAGTCCTATGAAAATGGTTCAAAATTGATCAGTATTTCTTGCTGGCATGCACATCTCCAATAATAACAAACTACCGTATAGTGGACAAGCCAGCTTAAAACTATGTAGTTGTGTGATCTTAGTTTACAAACCTGTGACTGTAGACTAAGCCGTAAAGAAGCACTCCGTCTGCCGCACACACCTTCACAGTTGCTTACAAACCCCTCTACCACTCGAGACAAGTTGACAAACTCATGGGATGACAGTCTCTCTAGAAAGCCATCCTGTAAAGCAAGAGCTCTTCGTCCTCACAAGTTCTTACAGCATAATAATCACAGTCAATAACAAAACCCAAGTCAAACAGAAACTTCTACAAACAATCACATATCATCAAAAGCCTATATTTCAAAGTTACAAACGTAGCATTATTTCCTTCCCAAGGCAGTTTACCATATTTCATAGCCCAGGGGGCACATAGTCTGTTACTGAAGGTAGAGAAATGGGTTTATTAAGGACATTGGAAAAAAAATTGTTGGCATTTCTTTTAAACTGCGATATATGGGTGGGCTTATTACCGAGCATGGGCTTATTACCAGATAAATATGGTTATTGCCATTCAAACAGCCACTGGCATAGCTATCCTATTTTTTTTGAAATAGGCTAAACTGTACAACTTTTTGTTTTACCATAAACCAAGTTTCACAAGATGGTAAACCAGTTTACTCTGATGAAATAAAGGATGAAGTCCACTACACACTTTTGTTGTCACCAGATTAAACAAATCTGTCCTTTTTTTTTATGCAATTAAAAAAACTGTGATTTTTGTGTGGAATATTTTTATAAGTAAAAGTATGTAATGAAATAATAACCCAGCTATAAAAACTTGTATTAACTTTTTTATTTATTAATACTACACTTACATTTTACAACTATTATTCTAATATAACTAGTATGTGGATGATGTGAAATTCAAACCCTGTGAATGGGTTTCCTTTCTCATTGAGCTATAGCTAGGATTAATGGTTATAAATTGTGTAACATGAAATTAACATTCTATGAGTTTGTTTCATGGAGATAATTATGAAAGAAGTTTTATACTGTTCATTTCTTTCCTTTATCTTTACAGATCATCAGTTGCCCATATAAACAGTGCAATATAAAGTAAACAGATGTGAGATTATACTACTATGCTGTAAACCTCAGTTATAACTTATCTAACTTTCAGAATGCTGTAATCCTAACATAAACAACCCAATTCAATAACCCCAGACAGATATTAGAAAAGAAAAATGAAATAATTACCCTTGACCGAGCTACAATGACCTTGACACAGCGGTCGTGGGAAAAGTCACAAGTACTGGTCAGCAAGTCAGCAAGACTGGAGCTGACCCTCACAAATTCAGCCTCACTTATCATTAAATCAGCAGCATCTTCACTCCTGTATATAGATAACAGACACACAGATTATTCAGGACGTTGTCGACACCAGGAGCAGACTACAAAAATCTATATGATAATTAGGATGACCTTTAATCTACTTTCCCAATCAATTACAAAAACAGTTTAACCTCTACGTGAATGAGGCTTACCATATTATTAACATTTTCAGTAAAATCTTCAAAGAATCTCCATGTACACATCCTAAAATTCTAACAACATCATTAAGTTGTTAAATATAAATGATAAATATAAATAATCATAAATGTGCCCAACCTTTCCTATGTCTAGTTTTACAGCATAGCACGGTAGCTAATTAGTGAGACAATGATCTTGACAAGAGGCTCCTGATTGTAAGTTATTTTAAATAAAGTTTACAAAAAAAGTGATTTGTGATCTTAATGTCTGAATAACTATCATGAAATCTGACTGGTGACGTTATTATCTTGTATAAGCAAATTCAACATCAAAACGATTTTTTTCCCATTTTTTCAGATCACAATAGAATATATAGCAGTTAACATTTCAAAATCTACATATACATGTACACATATTTATCACATGTATATAAAGTTTATTGATAGTATTCAATATGAAAAGAATAAAGAATCTTAGGATGGTTTGGTTTTTATTTTGTTTAACGTCCTCTCAACAACTAAGATCAGATCATTTCAGGACATGCCTTCTTGTGCAGTGTGTATGTGTGCTGGAGACAGGGTATGTTGATATATTTGCCTCCTTGCAATAGCATGGATCTGATGCCGACTATAGAGTGCTACCTATCTGAAATACCATACAGAAGACACCCAAACAGTATTCCACCCGGTCACATTATACTGACAACGGGTAAACCAGTTCTTGCGGTGCCCCTAAATGCAAACGCTAAGCAGGGCATACAACTACCACTTTTAAGGACTTTGGTATTTCCCTGCCTGGGGACAGAAACCATGGCCTACCTCACTTGGGCTAACGCTCGCTTAAAGTGAGGCATTGAAGAGGCTTAGGAAGGAAAAAATGGTCAGAACAAGAACTGCACACACAGACATTGTGTCACTGATAGTTAATGTGCTTTAGAGAGCTAATAATGAATGATTATGTTTTACAGAAATATCCCTAAATACACAAAGACAAATGAAGATAGGAAACATCGAGACATACTTAGTGTTATACAAATCAACATGGAAATGATAGGCAGAAGATGGCTGGCTGTCACAAAACCTCCATCAATACATACACAGATACGTGAAGATGGGAGGCTTCAGACAGAGACTCCATGTTATGGGTAGGTGAAGCCAGAGGACTAGGCACTTGTGTTTTACGGGCTGCGATACCGATCACGTCGGTAATGACACCATGGAATGTCTTCACACGATTCAGATGGACCAGAAGGTTGGAGAAGATCTGCCTCAGACATTCCATCCACTGAACGTAATTCAGCAGTCGCATCTGGTCTCCCAAACTGCAAAACATCAAGATGTACAATATCAAACTGTCGGCTACACTAATCATTTCCATATATAATATCACAGCAGCTGCACTTCTTTATGAAAATTTAATAGCATAATTTTCTAATTTTTAACCTTTAATAAAAAAATAAGTTCATTTAAAGGTCTAGATTGCTAAATTATAATCTGTGAAAATTCAATTTTCTTCTTTTGGTTCAAAATTGTGAAAAAGTTAAGCTCAAGTAAATAACCCAATATACAGTATCTATTTCAGAATCCACTGAAGCTAGAGGTGAGCATGAAATAGTTGACAACCTCTCTCTACAGCTGAAGAGTAATGTAATACAGGTTAACTGTGTGGAGCCCTACCTTGAAGCATTCTCATCTGTATCTATGTCTGCTGACGACACGGCTTCAACCACAGTCTGTAGAAAAAAATTAAAAAATATCTATATTATATGCACTACAAAAGTATTAACAAGGATTTCATCAACATAGACTATTCCTTACATCAATTAACATAATCCTAAAGATCAGTTCAGATTTGTTAACATGGAACGTAACTTTTCTTTTCAAAACATATTTGCTTGTTTTAGGTTCTAAGCTTTCAAAAAGGCAGTTAGGGTCATATGATGACTGAAAAAGGAGGTATTTATTTCAATTTATCTTTCTTTATGAACCTTTGTTTCTTTTTATTTGTTATCATTGTAAGTATTGAGTCACGTTTGCTCACATGACTTGTTACATTTAGTACTATTTGATAACCACCCTCAACATTCCCTTGTGTGAGACATCTATGTCCTTTTCTTTCCAGTGACAAGTTGTCTCCCTTACCTGTTTCACCGTGGCTCGTACAGCTGTTAATGCTTCCTCTCGGTACACATCCACGAAGTTGTACCGACCACGCCGAATCATACCGAATACCAGCGACACAAGCTTTTCCTGGAAAAACAACAAAAGTATACAGTAAAGCCGAAGCATACCAAATACCGGCGACACAAGCTTTTCCGGAACCACAAAAGTATACAGTGAAGCCGAATCCTATCAAACACCAAGGACACAAGTGTTTCCTGGCAAAAAGTCTATAAATTACAAAAGTATGTATTACAATGTAACAAATTATGAAAGACCTGAAACATTAATTCCTAATATTGATGCATTCTTTCGAAATATAACCTCAGTACTGATATTTTGAAATAATAAATATCAAACTTGAATACAAATCTTACATCACAAGGTGAACAGTTTGAGAAAACTTCAAACTATAAATTCATTGAAAATTTAAAATCTAAATGTGATTGCTCGATACGCAACATGTATGAAGTTTATTGATTTTTAAATATCTGATAATGAAACAATAAGGTTTAAAACATGATGATGTAATACATCATTGCTCCCTAAAGTGACTGTGCTGTGAGTATGTTCTGACTGTTAGAGTTACCTCCTCCTGTAGTAGCTCGGGGTCAGTGACTGGTCTGTTGAGGTCAGAAGACACATACTTGGCAAAATCTTCCTGTAACATACGGTCGATCACCTTCTCCATCTCTGCTAGCTGGGAACCCAAGTGTCTGCCACAGAACAGGTATATGGTATAAATATGGGGTATTTTCTCTCTCCATAATACACATAATTCTACTCAATAAATTAATTCACTGTATTCACATTATATGTAATGTTACTTAACAAGCCTCCACAAGTCACATTCTAGATATTAAATCACAGAAGTTATCTTTTCTTGGCTTTGAAAAGATACAAAATTTTTTAAAAAGTTGGTCTATTAATTATATTATAAGACTTGTATTATTTTTTATGAATTTCAGAATGTGTACAATATTTTCTATGAATTTCAGAAAGTGTGTAATATTTCTTATGAACTTCACAAGATGTGTTTTATAATTTTTCTAAAAGAATTTAGATATTAACGCAGAAAAAGTTTCACAATCGATAATGTAATGGTGCTTATCTTTCCATACATAGTCCAACTATCAAACCGTGTATAGTGTTATGCAATCTTCTTGTTTTCACATTTAGACAATACAGTGAGGATCCTATTCTTAACAATGCTACTGAAAATTGTCTTGCTATAAAACTGCTGTATCAAGTATGATTGTCAAATGAATGCATTAAAAGAGGTTTTTTGAATATGAGTATTTTTGTGTATAGTTTATCAGTTTTGAATATCAGGACAATCAAATTTTCTTTTCGCACTTATTACGATAAAAATATCGCTGATTTCTGATACACCTTAGTTGATATTTAGCTAAAACAGTTTCATACAACCCAGTCGCAATAATTGCATTCATTGTGCATAGGTCATTCGTATTGTTCTCAATATCCCTACCCCTAGATCTAGAGATACCACAAAATGAGAAAATCTGTAAGTTTTCCAAAAAGATGATATTAATAAAATTGCTTATTTAGATCCATTTTTTTTTAAACTTCTGACAAGTGCACCAGACTGGGCAGAATGTTATAGGCTAAGTGATGTGGATAGCTCACCTAAAGCTGTGGACACCAGCAAGCTCCTGTGACAGGACTTCCTGTGTAGTGGAGATAAGGTCAAGGGCGCCCACAAACTCATTGGTGGACAGCAACATTTGTATGGTGGGCTGGGTCTGGTGCACTGTGGCCATCATCTTAAGCTGGAGACATTAACACAGAGATGTCAACATATCTTAAGAGAACAGGTTCTTGTAGAGCAGTATTCCCAAAGACCGCAAAATGTGGGAGTTTAACAACATAAACAAGGGTTGTACTTTGGGGATTGCAGTTTGTACTTAAGACCCAGGGTTACCACAACTTGAAAATGTATTAGTAAATGATTTTTATTAACAAAAAAAGCATCCAAACTTAATTAATGATGTTCTACATTTTTATTTCATTTTGCTAAAATCTCACAAAAAAATGGTGTCATCAACTGATTGTAACCTTACAGAAAATACCAGGTATATGACACTGATTGTAACCTTACAGAAAATACCAGGTATATGACACTGATTGTTACCTTACAGAAAATACCAGGTATGACACCGATTGTTACCTTACAGAAAATACCAGGTATATGACACTGATTGTAACCTTACAGAAAATACCAGGTATATGACACTGATTGTTACCCTACAGAAAATACCAGGTATGACACCGATTGTTACCTTACAGAAAATACTAGCTATAACACTAATTGTTACCTTACAGAAAATGCTAGGTTTGACACTGATTGTTACCTTACAGAAAATAATAGGTATGACACTAATTGTTACCTTACAGAAAATACTAGTTATGACACTGATTGTTACCTTACAGAAAATACTAGGCATGACACTAATTGTTAGCCTACAGAAAATACGAGGCATGACACTGATTGTTACCTTACAGAAAATACTAGGTATGACACTAATTGTTACCTTACAGAAAATACTAGGCATGACACTAATTGTTAGCCTACAGAAAATACGAGGCATGACACTGATTGTTACCTTACAGAAAATAATAGGTATGACACTAATTGTTACCTTACAGAAAATACCAGCTATGACACCGATTGTTACCTTACAGAAAATACTAGCTATAACACTAATTGTTACCTTACAGAAAATACTAGGTATGACACTAATTGTTACCTTACAGAAAATACCAGCTATGACACCGATTGTTACCTTACAGAAAATACTAGGTATGACACTAATTGTTCCCTTACAGAAAATACCAGGTATATGACACTGATTGTTACCCTACAGAAAATACCAGGTATGACACCGATTGTTACCTTACAGAAAATACTAGCTATAACACTAATTGTTACCTTACAGAAAATACTAGGTATGACACTAATTGTTACCTTACAGAAAATACCAGGTATGACACTGATTATTATCTTACAGAAAATACCAGGTATGACACTGATTGTTATCTTACAAAAAATGCCAGGTTTGACACTGATTGTTAACTTACAGAAAATACCAGGTATGACACTAATTGTTACCTTACAGAAAATACCAGGTATGACACCGATTGTTACCTTACAGAAAATACTAGCTATAACACTAATTGTTACCTTACAGAAAATACTAGGTATGACACTGATTGTTACCTTACAGAAAATCCCAGGTATGACCCTGATTATTACCTTACAGAAAATACCAGGTATGACACTGATTGTTATCTTACAAAAAATGCCAGGTTTGACACTGATTGTTACCTCACAGAAAATACCAGGTATGACACTAATTGTTACCTTACAGAAAATAACAGGTATGACACTGATTGTTACCTTACAGAAAATACCAGGTATGACACTGATTGTTATCTTACAAAAAATGCCAGGTTTGACACTGATTGTTACCTTACAGAAAATACCAGGTATGACACTAATTGTTACCTTACAGAAAATAACAGGTATGACACTGATTGTTACCTTACAGAAAATACCAGGTATGACACTGATCGTTACCTTACAGAAAATACTAGGTATGACACTGATTGTTACCCTACAGAAAATACTAGGTATGACACTAATTGTTACCTTACAGAAAATACCAGCTATGACACTAATTGTTACCTTACAGAAAATACCAGGTATGACACTAATTGTTACCTTACAGAAAATACCAGGTATGACACTAATTGTTACCTTACAGAAAATACCAGGTATGACACTAATTGTTACCTTACAGAAAATACCAGGTATGACACTAATTGTTACCTTACAGAAAATACCAGGTATGACACTAATTGTTACCTTACAGAAAATACCAGGTATGACACTAATTGTTACCTTACAGAAAATGCCAGGTAGGTGATAAACTGTACATATTTTATTTTACAACCATGTATTATAATCTTTATAAATTAAAAGTTTATATTCAGAAAGTCTACTTACTTTGTTGTATAGTTGTGCATAATTAGCTCTAGTGCGATACAATTTGATTATCTTCAGAGATCCTTTGGCCAGATATTCATCAATAGTTTTCACTCTGTCCCTGTATAGAAAAAAACATGATGGTAGGATGTTAACTGATCTATACAGGCAAACAACCAGAATAGACATAAAACATTTCATGATATATTTGTCCGTGATATGGGGTTGTTTTGCATGTGTGATACTACTAGCTGTTCATAGGCCATATCCCACACCAACCGTAACCACCCAGGATGTGCCATATCTGCCCGGCACACATCTTTTCCCTTTAGTTTCCAGTTCAACACTTTTCAGAAAGATCATACCTCAATCATCAGACAGTGAGTAAAACAAACAGGTCACAGATAAAAAAACCAATTGAGTCAGACTTTGACTTCATAATAATTATAGAGCAGTATATGATAGCATATCTACGTTTTTATCATATGTTGTCATATTTGTACCATATGAACACTTCCATATAATATGGAAAAAGTCATAACATAACCTCTAATAATAGCCACCCAGGTCAATATTGTCATTTCTTATTTCCTTTCTACTGAGGATGTACCAACTATCAATGTGTAATTCTGTATGGAAGTCAGTGTATCACTGATTTGATGTTTACAACATTGGTTTCATTCTAACCTCCAACGATTATCAAAAAAAGTTCATTTACGTAAGAGGGGGGTATACTGGAATCAACTTGTCTGTCCATCTGTCCGTCTGTAGAAAAAGTTTGTCCAGACAACTCCTTCGAAGGTAATGAACTAATTTCAACGACAGTTTCCATATATGATAACTACCACTTGAGGTTGTGCATCCAGGTATTATTGTTTTCATTCTGACCCTTTTTATGGAGTTATTGCCCTTTGTTGAAAAATGCTTGTCCAGACAACTCCTCCAAAACTATGAGGCCAATTTCAACAGAAATTTACATATATGGTAACTGCCCCCTGATATTGTGCATCCAAGTACGTAGTATGTTTTCATTCTGACCCTTTAAGCAGAGATGCAAATAATATTATTTTAGCAGAGATAAGGAAATATCAAATTCTTTTGTACAAACAGAATGTATTTTTAGATATTATATTGATGGCAGATTATTTGAAAATATAAGAGGCTTGCCTATACATACCTCAGTCGTTTAATTGTCTGGGCCTGCCTATACATACCTCAGTCGTTTAATTGTCTGGCATGTCTGTAGCATGTTCTCCTGGAGTTTGTCTTGACGAGACATTGCCTGGAAGAACGCGTCGGACTTAGTCGATATTTGCTTGGCTATGTGCACCTCCACTATATCTAAGTAATGACTCAACTGAAATAGAAAAAAGGAGACATTATATAATTCAATTCAAACATCTCAAAATGAAGCACTCTATGAAAGAAATAAGTGTGTATGTCAACTGCACAATAATGACAGATAAATTGTATAATTTTGGACATGCTCTGATGGGTAAATACAATAAGCTAATCCTATATGGGAACATTTGCCCAGTCAGTTCAGTTCGGTTCTTTATTACCTTGAACCTTAAGGCTCATCAGTTCAAAATAAACATATATACAAGAATAAACAATACAATCACTCACACCCATATCGATACACACCCACAAATACACACTCACATATCCATTGGTATAGTGTAGAGAGACATTCCTCTTTATATTGGTACATAGTCTTTTCTTTTCTTATTACTCTGTTTAATATATTTGGCTAAATTTGTTAACTGTTTTTTGTTCACTGTTTCCATAAGTTGGATAAATTTATACATGCAAAAACTTGCCCTTTACACAGGCAAAATCCCTATTTGCCCAATGGTCAATTTGTCCTTTATATAGCCCTGATAAATCTGCAGCTATTACAGAGGGAAAAACAGGCAATTTGGTTAAACTGTGACAAACAAAAATTAAGAATACATTATGTATTATGAAGGGTTCCTTTGATAACACTTAAATGTGTAAGGAAAATATCACAATAAGTCTGATTTTTCAACATACTGGACAATTTTTCTGTTCAATGGTAATTAACATACAGGTACACTGTACATGCGCGTTAAGTACCAATTATTTCACTTGGCGTTAAGGTTACACTAAAATCCTTAGGTAGGTTAATACTGTGTACCGGGAAACTCCTTCCCAGTTCGCCCTTCACTGGTAACATCTGTATTCTCCCTGCAGTGCGAGTTTCACCCTTCACATGCAATTACTGTATTGAGTATGCAGTGTAGTAGTATTAACTGTCATGATAAATTTGCCCTCAAATCTCCAGGACAAAAAAGGCGGAAGTTAAACTGTGGTATACAGATTCCAGTAATGATTTGAGGTAAACAAGTTTGTCATTGAAAGGATAGATAACAACGCCCTTTCATGTTTCAAACTGTGTCAGATTTAATTCATCGGTTTGCCTTCTACTTATAGCAACAGTTCTATAATTCTGAATGGATTATGTTTGTCATACTCTCATAGCTGCAAATATTTTTTCTGTTGTTCCATTTTATCATTTTTTATTAACTTTGGTACACAGCTAGCAATTACATTAGATTAGGAGACAATTCAACGTATCGTTGTTGTGAATTATAACAATAGCTTTGATTCCCTTTCGGTCAGACAGACATTCCTCACTCACCTTTTCCTGAAGGAGCTTTGACAACTGCGGTCCAGAAGATGTAGGACCAGAAGGCTTGGAATGATTTTTTGACTCAATCTGTTGCCATGGAAACACAGCATTGAAAGTATCACTATTTCCCAGTTCAAAGTTTGGTAAAAGGAAGAGCTGGAAGGATAATGACAAAACACAGTATCAATCCATGAATGACAGCAAAGTAATATCTATTCCTACTATAATCAACCTTTGTACTTTTGTCTTGCTAGCCATGACTTATATTGTAACATTTAATATCATTATATATGTAATCGGTCTTTTCTGATTTCTGTAAATCCCACAAACCTTCAAAACACCAGACAAATAAGTATAATTACCATATACTGCTTTAATGGAATTGTGGAATTAAACTTTTGAAAAAAAGTTGCGGAGAGTTTTTTTTAGAAAAGTTATGTATCACAACCAGTAAGTGTTTTTATGTGACGTTTAGATGACTAGTACGATACGTACCCTACCACCTTCATAGGACAAATGACCAGTGAAGCGTATGTACACAAAGGTGTAAAATATGTACGAGTTGGCAATATCAAATCAAAGTCAATTTGGATATGCAGAGAGTTAAGTCTGCACCAAACTACTTTCTACAAATGATATTTAAGTATGGTTTTCAAATGGTTAATAGTTTGGAGGATTTCAGAATTCCCTGTTGGTTTTATGTCTTTCAATATAGCAAAAAATCAACCCTCACTTTACATAGTTATTAAACAGTATGTGCTTTAGTGCAATACACCACTTTGGTTTTCTTTAAAATACTTAGCAATCAAAGTACAGATTTGAATTCTGCAAGCAGTTTCTTTGCAGTGAAAGTAAAAGAATATCCCTGACACTCAATGTGTATGTGCAAATAACTTACTTTGGGTATCTGTTGTAACTCAGCTCTGTTCTTTTCTAAAAAAAAATATAAAAAATATTTATTAAATGTATTTGTTTGCATGCACAGGACACCAATGAAGTTAAAATCGAGATCTTCGTTATAAAACAAAACATGCATACTTTTTGTGTAACAAACAATACTAACTAAAACACAGTACAACTCTGTACAGTAGCATTATGATGATCTATTAATAACGGAAGGCACGAGTTTCTTCAGATATATCTACAAAACTATTAAAGCAAATACATAGATTTGTTAATTGACAATGTATATTACAGATGAATATATAGAGGATATCTAATAGTGTCTTCATTACCATGGCAGGTAATGGATCTGATTATTCTTGGCAGTAAAATGAACTTATGTCTCAGACGGATTTTCTTGAGGCCTGCACATCATTAAGCTAACCAGGCTATGACCATATGGACCACTTATAATTTTTCTCATGGTAGTTTGTAATCAGTGTCTTGATTGGTCAAATCAGTAAAAGCAATATTTTTCATTAGTAAATTATCACTTTTCTAGAATACCGGGTAAGTAATTTTCGATATTTCACTGGTAAAAATGTAATAAAGACATGTATTTTAATCAGATTGATATGTAACTGTGTCGTGGCTGTTGTGTTGACTTACCAAGCTGCTGTAAGAAGGTTTCCCCACCAGGAGACTCTTGAAGGAACTGAGTATATTTATGGACATGCTTCTTGTATCTCTGTAAAATAAAGTGATCCGAATTCAGATCCTTGACTCAATTTCCTGTTGTAATATTGCCATTAATAAAAGTTTGCAACATATCTTTTCGATTTGCTTCTGCTGTTACTTTATGTATGGTGATGTATATCGTATCATCACGTTAATGTATCGTTGCAGCCATTAAGGGACCTACACATACAAAGATGGACAGAACGCACACACGGGTGATGGTACCTTTGACATTTGGTTATAGATACAGTGTGCCAAATATGAATCACACCACATCATAGAGCTAACAAATAAGATCACCATCAAAGCAAAAGTTGTCAGTGTGATGTTAATGCGACCCGTTTACTTGACACAGGACACAGACACTAGGATGCCTTATAAGCAAGATTTAACAGTCAAAGTAAGCCTTTTTTACTGCCTCTGTAAATGTTCGACAAACTGTCACTTCTAAGTTATTTTAGATAATCTTCCCAAAGAAAAGTCTGAATATATTGATGCAGATTGACACATATAAACAGTTTGCTAGCACATCTGATGAAGAAGCACACTGTTACTCTTAAAATTCAAAATTCTTGGAATTAATATTGTATATTTGACAGCAGTTTTGTCTATGTATCTTTTTGCTAAGTTAGTTCGGCAATCATCAAGTTCGACTTTAGAGTTATAAACTTAAGTGAGTCAGCTAGTGCAGCAACAGTAATTACTCAATATATAGGGCTGGAGGTTGCTACACACCTTTGATACAATAAAAAAAATACCGGAGGTTGTAACTCAACTTTGATAATAGGACTGGAGGTTGTTACTCACCTTTGATAATAGGACTGGAGGTTGTTACTCACCGTTGATAACAGGACTGGAGGTTGCTACTCATCTTTGATAATAGGACTGGAGCTAGGTTGCTACTCATCTTTGATAATAGGACTGGAGGTTGTTACACACCTTTGATAATAAGACTGGAGGTTGCTACTCACCTTTGATAATAATACTGGAGGTTGCTACTCACCTTTGATAATAGGACTGGAGGTTGCTACTCATCTTTGATAATAGGACTGGAGGTTGTTACTCACCTTTGATAATAGGACTGGAGGTTGCTACTCACCTTTGATAATAATACTAGAGGTTGCTACTCACCTTTGATAATATGACTGGAGATTGTTACTCACCTTTGATAATAGGACTGGAGGTTGTTACTCACCTTTGATAATAGGACTGGAGGTTGCTACTCACCTTTGATAATATGACCGGAGATTGTTACTCACCTTTGATAATAAGACTGGAGGTTGCTACTCACCTTTGATAATAATACTAGAGGTTGCTACTCACCTTTGATAATAATACTAGAGGGTGCTACTCACCTTTGATAATATGACCGGAGATTGTTACTCACCTTTGATAATAGGACTGGAGGTTGCTACTCAACTTTGATAACAGGACTGGAGGTTGTTACTCACCTTTGATAATAGGACTGGAGGTTGCTACTCACCTTTCATAATAGGACTGGAGAGTGTTACTCACCTTTGATACTAGGACTGGAGGTTGCTATTCACCTTTGATAATAGTACTGGAGATTGTTACTAACCTTTTATAATAGGGCTGGAGGTTGTTACTCCCCTTTGATAATAGGACTCGAGGTTGCTACTCAACCTTGATAACAGGACTGGAGGTTGGTACTCATCTTTGATAAAAGGACTGGAGGTTGTTCCTCACCTTTGATAATAATACTGGAGGTTGCTACTCACCTTTGATAATAGGACTGGAGCTAGGTTGCTACTCATCTTTGATAATAGGACTGGAGGTTGTTACTCACCTTTGATAATAGGACTGGAGGTTGCTACTCATCTTTGATAATAGGACTAGAGATTGTTACTCACCGTTGATAATAGGACTGGAGGTTGTTACTCACCTTTGATAATAGGACTGGAGGTTGTTACTCACCGTTGATAAAAGGACTGGAGGTTGTTACTCACCGTTGATAAAAGGACTGGAGGTTGCTACTCACCTTTGATACTCTATGTCTATACTTCTGAAAATGCTCTCTGGAAATGTGAACCAAATATGGCGAAGGTGGAACCTCTGTTCTTTCATAAAAATCTTGACCCCAAGTTTTTGTGAAAAAGTCATATTCCCGCTTTGAACGCAGAGGATCATTAAGTGCCGCTGGAAGGTTCACAGAAGATTTGTATATTGTCCATTTGTGTTGATCTTGGACCACACTTGGTTCCTCTTTTTTGTGATTATCAGACACATGTAATGCCATCACTCCAGCACTGTCCTTTTGACCTGCAGTAGAAAATAAAGAATAATTTTTAAAACATCAGATAAAGATATATAATGTATCTTTTATAGTATACATGTACATTTCTCATACTTAATGCTTGAATGTTATAGTTAAATTTTACTCATTAAGATACAATTGTAAACATCAAAATTTACTAGCAATAGACTGGAATACTATTCAATGTTTTTCAAACGCTCATTTTTGGAAAGATGTACGTATATATACAAATGCAAGGAATCCAATTATCAATATCCCAGGGATAATCCTAGAGGGGGCCATTGGGCCATTGACCCCTCAAAACTGAAATTGACCCCTCCATGTTCCAATTTTCTTTTTAATTTGACATAGAATGGCTCCTCTTACTTTTGATATTGACTGAAAATAGCTGAAATGGCCCACTGCTCTCAAATTTAAGGATTTCCCCTGATATCCCTCATGGCTGTTAATTCCTCAATAAACATTCCAGAAAATATTTTTGATGTTGATTCTACTAATATTTTGAGGAATAAGTTCATGCTATGGTACTAATGACAGCCTTCCATATAGCAAATGTCTTTGGCCTTTGATATGGAGCAAGATTACTTCAATACGTCACTCTGACTTAATACATGTGCAACATGACAAGGAAAATGAACACGTGTAATTTTCGATTTGAACCTCAAAGTCCATACCATGTGTATATTATATATACAATACACCAGAAGTGGTATGCAAATTATTGGAAGAAGAAATTGTGGAATGTCTAAGATTTCTAACATAACGTGGGTTATGTTTTACTACTAACTAGTCGGGTATGAGAATTACACAACCAACAGCTACATGATGCTGACTTCGGTTATCTGATTTGTTACGTACCTATACCACGTTGTTGATGGGAAAGGACATGGTCCCTAGCTATGTGGTTTTCATAGTCCATGTCACTCACCCCCTCTAACGGCAGGGAGGGACATACATTATTCAGTCCATACCTGCAAACAAAAGAACCACCCTCTTTTGAACAGTGAAAATCTCTTAAATGTCTCGTGAAATCCGCAGCTGATTTGAAAGGAAGTTGACACAATAAACACTTTCTCCGAGGCCTGGCCCCGTGTCCCTCGCCGGTTATGTTCGGATTTGAGATCGCATAATTTATGGTGGCCATAACGGCTTTAGATACGATTACATTGCTGCTTCTACTGTTAATTCAAAAGTTTATGAATGCTGTAGGGGATCTGTGTTGCTAATTAGCATTGATAAAATTGTATGACTAGTAAAATATCACTGCTATCTCCGAAATGAAGTTTGTACCCCTTTTCATCTGTCGCCATAATACATTTCTACGTACTTCCGGTTTGTATAATTTGACGGCTAAGGGTTCCGCTGACTGGCAAAATGTTCCGGATATATTAAGTAAGACGACTGGTCGTGATTAGATTTAAACTGCTACATTTTGATGATAAGAGCATCCAGTTATGATAGCATTAATGAATATATTCTGTTCTCCTTTTCTTCCTTCAAAATAAACTTTAAAGCATAATTGTGTTTTCACGTGGAGGGTTAGCACACCCACGAGTTACCTCCCGTTAAACGGTCATCATAGTTTTCACATTTTAATTCTATTTTAAATAATGTCATGGGTACACAGAAGTTTCATACTAATAATCACACGAATGAAAACGCAAACTAATTAAAATCATATCTTCACATCGCTCCCGTTTACTGATATGTCAACGCGAGCCGACATATCAGTAAACGGGAACGATGTGAAGGGTTATAATTCTAATTAGATTAATGAAAACGTTGTCGTTTATTTCTAATGCATTATTTTGAAATATCATTTCGTGTGACTAAGACCATTCAGACAAAAGAGTTCGGACAGTTTCCAAAAATATATTTCAAAATTTGTTTGTAGTTCTGATCTTAAAGATATCAGCAAAAGTTCAAATTAATTGTCTTGGAGAACAAAGACATTTTATCAGCGTAATTTCGTAAGAATGTATTCTTTTTAGTAATGCACGAGTTATATAATAAATTGACGGGCTTTACTTATAAATAATTAGACTAAAAGTATTTCTCAAAATATACGAGAGATTCCTTCTAGGGCCTAGTAGAATTCTATTTTCTCCCCCTCCCATATCCTCCCCCTCCTCCGGCGCGATGTACAGGTCGAGTCGAACGTCAGAGGCGCGCTCCGACGTTCGACCCCATGTACATGTAAGCATACACTCGGGGAAATGTCCATATAGCATTTCTAACCAACACTCTAAAGTGTACATTCCATAGAGAATGTTCCTATTCACTTAATTTGTTTGTTTTCTAAGTGATTACAAATGATTACGATGATAGTGGAACGGAAGTGTGGATATACAAAAGCCTGATCACGAGGAGAGGGAGAGAGGGAGGGTGTCAGTCAGATGGAAGTGGTTACAAATAATTATGAGTGATAGTGGATATATAGACCAACGCCTGATCACGAGGAGGAGGAGAGGGAGAGAGTTAGTCAGATTTAACTGGTTGCAAATAATTACGAGGGATAGTGGATAGACCAACACCTGATCACGAGGAGGAAGGGAGGGAGGGAGGGAGGAAGTGGTGAGCAAAAAATGATGAGGGAGATANGGGGAGGGAGGGAGGGATTAGAGGACTGTGAGGGGGAATTGGTACTATATATTTAGAAAAGATGACAAAATAATGTTTATCTTTTTTTCCCACAGCAATCGTTCATTCCATTATACTTACATTGTGCTGTATTTGCAAGTACAATTCTGGATATGTTTATCAATAAGAAAAACAAAATCGATGTAGTAAAAGGCATGAAATGTATATAGATGATAGAGCTCGAGCGCAAAGCTATTTATAAGGGACAACTCGTACTTTTCGAAAGTTCCCGATTACTGAAACCAACTTAAGTCTATGGGAAAAACAAAATATCCATGCTATTTCCCGATTGTCCCAGCTACACAGACAACAAAATATAAAGTCTAAGGATTTAACGTTATATATTAATAAAATTCTTGCGGAAAATAGAAATAAAGATCAAAATGCAAGTGTACATTCACAATTTTATACCCGCTGAAGTGTATCTTTCAATCAATCAAGGTGGCGCCATTTTTCACAGCTAATCAGTTTCTCTCAAATCTGATTGCAATCTAGAGCATACGCATACATATGACTTGTCGGGAAGGAAGGCAGACATTTTGAAAAGTTTGGAACAGTTGAAATTTGAAAGAATAAAAAACAACAATTAATAGTGTAAGAAGAGGAATAAAAGGTAAAGCATAGGAACACTCTTAACCAAGGTTTTCTCCAAATCGTTCGAAAAACAAATTCCCAACAATATCAATGATAGATATCAGCTCTTTGTTTTTAATTTCAGAACGGTTTTGAGTAATACATTTCCAAAGGTAAATTTAGAAGAAAACCGGCTAACCTAAGGGAATCATACCAAAAGAGAAACATTCAGCATGCGGTATCGTATACATGCATACATACACTTTTAACTATTTCCGTGCGGGTTCCATCTGTCACATTTGTATCCCGTCAATATCCAACATCTCCATTGGGGTTCCATTCCAATGACGGTCGTCTGCTACAATAGGGATGCGCGTCTTGTGACCAGACTGTACTGGAACAGTTCATATCTCGCGATATGTACTGTCTTGTCCGAGTTCCACTATTTAAGTTTAATTCATGGGTCTGCATTTTATTTATTTAAATGAAATTTAAACAGCGCTGTCGACGTCATTTTCAGAAGCGTTTCTGTTTGAAACGAACATGGAGTAAATTGACATAAATAGATGTATTTTGATTTCACCCTTGGAATATCAAATCTATACACATCTGCTTGAATAGTTTCCGGAAGTATATTAGATATAAATGTCCGTGAATAAATTTAGTATTTATTTTTCTTGGATGTATGCTCTTATTTGGGACCAAACTGTTGCCCGTCAATATCCAACATGTCCGATTACATTGGGTCTCCACTCCAGTGACGGTCGTCTGCTACAATAGGGATGCGCGTCTTGTGAACAGACTTTACTGGAACAGTTCTACTCTCAGCTGATGTATTATCTTTTCAGTATTCCACTGACTTCATTGATGACAGAACGGTTCTCGACATCTGTAAGTTTAGCTCAAACACTTTACACACTTCGTTTGAAACCAACATCGTGTAAATTAACAACAGGAAATGTATTTCACTTTATCGCAGGGCGTCAAACCAATAAAGATTTTCTTTATTGAACTGTTTCCGTGCGGGTTCACAAGATTTGTATCCCGTCAATATCCAACATGTCCGATTACATTTGGTCTCCACTCCAATGGCGGTCGTCTGCTACAATAGGGATGCGCGTCTTGTGACCAGACTGTATTGGAACAGTTTCACTCTCATCATGAGTATTATCTCGTCCGAGTATTTCAACGTTGTCGACATATGTCAAAGAGCAATGGCTCCACACACTCCGTTGCAAACCAACATAGCGGAAATTATTTTGTATTTTATTGCCGGGTGTCAAATCGATAAAGATATTTTATTCATATTTATTGTCTGTAAATGTAATCTGTAAACTGTTTCCGTGCGGTTACACAAGATTTGTATTCCGTCAATATCCGTTTTAATATGTATGTTGTCGGAGATTCTCATGGATTCAAGGGAGTAAAAATTGAAAGACTGCAGTAGTGCTGAGACGATAGACAATGGTGAGTGATCGTTTAAGTGATTTATCAATACACACCAATTTCGATAGCTGTGATAATGTTCGGTCTTTTCGAATCAAATAGAATGTATTGAATAAATCAACCCTGCTTGTATGGGCCAATATATCATGTCATACAGAGCAAATGCAACATTGTAAAAAAAGTACAAAAGGGGTATAACCCCAACCCCCCCACTCCCGAGTTTTACTTTTTAGCTTAAAATTTAAAAAATAATAATTGAAACCAGTGTAATTAAATGTTATTTAGTGCTATGAAAATAATTAATATTAGTATGAGAAAGATCTAGATATAAACAATTTACGTGTGTTTCAGGCAGTGAGTGAGCCATGTGACACATTTATTTGCCAGTAAGGAAGTTACATAAGCATAACCACAGACACTTGGGTTTAGCCAATAGAAAGTGAGTGAAAAAAGGGAAGCTCCGGAATATGACCCGCCTCTATACGTTTAATTAACCGTTTTACATAACGTTCGTCAGTCAATGTCAACACATCATCCGACAGTCACTGTTTACACATTGTCCGGTTGTCACATACGTCTATAAATTGTTTGTAAGTTATTTTCAACACGTCGTCCGTCTGTCACTATCAGCATATAATCCGTTTGTCACTGTTTATACATCGTCCGTATGTCACTCTCAACACATTGTCCGTCTGTCACTCTCAAACATCGTCCGTCTTCATCTTCAATGTCAATGTAAATTTAGAATTTGATGGGAAAGTCTTAAATTTTACAGATTGTCATAAACATTTAGGGGTAACTTTTAATTCGAATGCAAAGTGGGGATCATGTAAATGGAATTTACACTTCTGGTATGAAAAAAAATAATGTCTTACGGAAACTGAAACTCTTATAAAGTAGGGATGCTCTTTTAATAATTAACAAGACTTTTATTTCACGTGTTTTAAAATATGCTTGTGAGTTGTGGGACGGTTGCACTGTTTTTGAATCTGAAAAGTTAGAAAAAGCCCAACGTGAAGCTGCTCGCATTATATTAGGACTTCCTTCATATACCCCTATCAATACTTTATATTACGAAACTAGTCATTTTATCTAATCACAGAAAACGGATGAAACTTCAACTATTGTATAAGATGCATATTAAATTAACTCCTGATTACTTCAATCATCTTTTGCCGCCTTTATCTGGAGAAAATAATCGTTACGCTTTACGTAACAATAATAACTATAGGATTCCTCCTTTGAGATTATCTCTTACTAACTCTTCTTTTCTACCTTCTACTCTTCACTATTGGAATAACTTAGACAATTCGGTTCGATCACTACCCTCTATTAATTCATTCCAATCATGTTTAACATCAAATATTAAGTCAAGTCCACCTATTTACTTTAAAATCGGAAATCGTAAACTTAATATCTTGCATACTAGGCTCCGACACCAGTGCAGTTCCCTTAATTATGACCTTTTTCGAGTTAACCTTGTTGAGAGTGCATCTTGTAATTGTGGTCATCCTTGTGAGAATGTCTTTCACTATTTTATTGAATGTCAACTTTTTACAAACGAAAGACGTATTTCGGTTCAAAATTTGATCAATTTGAATGGTGCGTTAAATTTAGAAATTTTTATTTTGTTTGGCAATTCACAATTTTCCGTGGAC